AAATCTTTACTTAGACCATAGGTCTGTAACCCCAGCAGAAGGTCAAAGGTTATCCCACTCAGTCCTACAGACTCAGCCTCCTCAGCTGCTCCTCATTAGCTGTACTGTAGAACTGTATGCCATCTACGTCCAGCATGTCTTCATCATCTTCACCATCTTCAGTGATGGCCTGACGCTCCTGAAGAATGTGTCACAAAACAACAAGCAAGCCAAACCAGAATGTAAAAATACTACAATGTCATCTGCATATACAGACCTGTACAGCATACACAAGTGGTTGGAGATCGTATGAGTGTATTTGATTTAATGCTTGGAGTTTCAAGACTAAATACTGATGGATGGGACCATATCGTAGAAAATCCACTGTTTACAGCTTTTTACCGTGTAATATTGTTTTTTCCTCATGAAAAAAAAAAACACAAACCTGTTTTGGCTGTATTCATGCATTTTTCTGTTTCAGCAGCAAATTTGGAGTTCTACTTTGAAAATCCTGTAAAGCCTTAATGGATAGCCTTTTTGTCAGGCCCTGCTCCTTTCCTGGAAGCTGTCTCTGGTCTGAAACCTGTCCCATCTGGCCAGCACAGGATATTTAGCTTAGGTGACTGGTGTTACTAGACTTGGTAGTCCAGACGTTAGAGTGCTGAGGTGGACACGTTACCCAATGGACTACCATAGCCAACACAACAGCTGACTTGCCTAAGAAGCTGTTGTAGGCACATTTTGTCGTAGCAGGCGTGGGCGGAGTTTCACAGAAACTTTTTTGGATTCTCAATCATTACCTTAGTAGAAGGAAACAGGATCCAATAACACACATCTTCAAATGTTGTAAATCTACCTTCTGTATTAACCCTCTCAGGCTCAAAATAAGTTTTGATAAACGGATGACCAAGTAAGTCCTTCAGGGGTACTTCTCAGTTAAAAAATGCTCATGAAATACGTATGTAGAGTAACCAGGTAGGTAGGTTTTAATGTTGCAAATCTGCAACTCCAGCCTCCAGAGTGTTAACAACTCCTCTATTGGTTTACAAAAAAAAAAAAAAAAACGCAGGCATGGCCAGAGGTTTGGTAAAGGTTTACTGCTTCTGTCCTTTAGATACTTCTATAGTGTACTGAAGTATAATTGCATACATTACATATGTTTTAAAGGACTTTATTGACAAGTGCATTAAGTTTATGAGTCTATATTTGTAGCATCGGCCCTTATTCCATCAGATGTCTGTCAACTTCTGGGCCAATCCAACCTCAGAGAAGTCCGTAAATGACTTAAAGTCTGGCCAACTTGGGTAACGTGTCTACCTCAGCACTCCAAACCGTTGGCCTATGTGTACATACACGTACCTTTGTTATTATTTTTCCTTCAAATTACTCTCTTAAGTGTTGGTGCTGCTGTAACAAGTGAATTTCCCCACTGTGTGATCAATACATTCTATTCTATTCTATTCTATCTTTCCACACTGTCATTTCCCCATTCACTGGCTCGGAACATCTTCTTGAATAGTACAAAGAATCATGGATTTTAATATTAAATAGTAAAACGAAAAAGTTACAGTCACTTTTTTTCATCAATTATTTCAATACTTAATTAATCAAAATTGATTAAAAAAAGTTTTAATATGCATTTAATGATAATGATTTATTTTGTATACAACTGGTGGTTCTGTTTTCAAGAGTGCAAAATAAAATTGGCTTAAAGCACATTTGCACACACCACCGGGGCTAATTTATACATTACCTGCAGCTCCCTGGTGGCTTATGTCCACATCATAATCGCAGATTAATCTAAATGCATGGTGAGGTAGTTTAGAGAAGAAATAGCCACAATTTTTAAATTAGAATTTTTTTTCATTAATTTTGCTAAATCTTTTATTTATTCTTTCTTCCTGTTTTTTTCATTTATTGTTGTTGTTTAAGTTTTGAACTAAATTGCTGTAAAGTGTGGGTGTTTTTAGCCTCCTCATTAAAAAAAGTGTGTGTTAAAACATCACATCCCACATGCCGGTCCGGTCAGTTGTCACACACACAGAGAGAGAGTTTACCTTTTTAAACGCCTAAACAGCAGCGAGTGGAAACCGGAGGATGGAGAGAGAGGCAGCGGACAGACGTAGGATAGAGCAGGGAGGAGGGGGGTGGGGGTGTTACGCTATTGGCTAGGCACAATGGTTTTTCTCCGCTTTTCTACGATGATTGGCTAAATGATTATGAAGTTTGCTGAACTTACAGCCATTTCCCCTCTTCTTTTTCTCCATGCCTGGTTCGATGACATCACTTTTGTGATTCGCATTTGTAGTCCTGGACTTATTTTCACACAAAACCTATAATATGCCCCCCCCCCCCTTATCCGTCCGTCCCCCGTCCCCCTCCCCCATTCAAAAATAAGCGCGTTCTTGGTATCAAAATTTGTCTTTAAAATTCACGGACATCATAAGTGAAATCCATGGCACAAAACAAACAGAATTAGAAAATAGCGTTTTTAGCCCCATTGACTTGCATTCATTTTTTCCTTCATGCGGGGACCCATGGTTCAGAAGTAGAGGGCTGTTAGGCTCCCTATGCTGCTGTTGTGTCCTAGGGCAAGACACGTAACCCACATTGCCTGCTGGTGGTGGTCGGAGAGACTGGTGGCGCCTGTGCTCAGAAACCTTGCCTCTGTCAGGGCGCCCGGGGGCAGCTGTGGCTACACTGTACCTCACCAGCATGTGAATGATGTACTGTAGTGTACAGCGCTTTAGAGTCCTCTGACTCTGAACAACACTATACAAGTGGGGGTCATTTATCATTATCATTTCATTAAATTCTGGAAGGTATGCAAACTGCCATTATAAAACCAGAAACAGCACATTTTGCAATAAATATTTGCATCATTCTCAAAACTTTTAGCTACTGCTGTAATGTCTTAGGCAGATATAATAATGTTATAATAACCATACCCATACCATATGTGCCATGACAACAACAAAGAAAATGAGGGGAGATCACTGGGTGGCACTACAATCCTTGCTGGAGTGTGTGATCAACTCCAGTCTCAGAAGGGAGTGTTGTAAAGAAAAAACAAAAACACTTGACTGGAAAGCATAATTTGCATCATAGTAATGTGATGCAGCAACACACATACCGTGCTTCTGTGGCTGGAGGGGCCAGAGGCAATCCAGTCAAGCATCTCTTTTATGCTTTTCATGAGCGACTGAGCCTCCGACAACACTGCAATGACAGAGAAATGTTTTAAAATTAGCCATCACTATTGCATTATTGAGTATTTACATGATAATACTAGCAGATTAGTATGAAAACAAAGGTATCAATTAGATGTGGTTAAAGGTCTGCACTTAGAAAAGAAAAATTATAAATGGAGAACAGACCCAAGTATGTGAGTGATGGGAAAGTGAAAAATACATCTGGTTAGACCAAAGGTTGACCTTACACTGATCAGACTTTAAGATCTCAGGTTGCTCCTCACACATCGTGTCACTGAACTCTACAGCTTCTTTCAAGGAGAAAAACATTAATACAAGCAAATGTTTGTTAAGATTAACTTGAGTACTGACAAATGTCCCACAACACACTGGAATCTGACATCTTTACGAGCAAAGAAATGGAGCTGTAATCAAAATAAAGGGTTTGCTGTCGTTTTGATTTTTACTCATTTAAATTTAGATTAGTGTTTCAGATTAAACTAACACTGTTTTGTACATATTTGAATGGTCATTTTCTATAACCCCTGTCTACTCATTAATGCCACCCCCACACCATGAAATCCTGCTTTAACTGGATGTTATATGTGTCATATATGTTCTATATGGTTTTAATAGTGTAAACTTTGTCTTGTATATTTATACGATGTTTGCTGCAGGACTCCCTTGAAAAAGAGGTTTTGAATCTCATTGGACTTTTTTCCTGGGTAAGTAAAGGTTCAATTAAATAAATAAAAATAAGTTCTGCACATAAGACTTAGATAAAATATAGCAACAAAATTAAATAAGACTATTTATTTTTTATTTAACCAAATTGCATTTTACTACAACGTTTCTGTGTTTTATTTGACCCTGGAAACAGCTTTACAATACAAAATTATTATTTGGTAATGTGTTCAGCCAGTAAATGAATAATAATCATAAAATATTAATACTTGAATCATGGATAATTTAAACTTGGGTCTAAAATGTAATGAGCTCTTAAAAATGTTTCACAGACTTTTTGGGGACAATTATTTAGTTACACCATGTCTAAGAAAATAAAAAGTGTCAGAGTTAAATTCAGAGCAAGGGTTTATTTACTTAGTCCACTTATAGGTTTTACCGCTTTGAATACCAAATATACTAATTTTGAATAAAATTATAAGCAAACTTTCATGAAAGCTTTTATTTTGTGTTAAGGGTCAATGTTGCTAACAGCTAGCTAGCTACTGTAACCATTAAAGCTCCTCCAGAGAATACATACTTCATGTTTTTCACTGTAATTAAAATAATTACTGATAGTTTGCTGTTCAATAAATTACCATCGGCCATAAGTACGCATTTAAACTGGATAATAGCAATGACATTTACAAATACACTCTTTAAAACACAGTGGCTGGCTGCCTGCATTAATAGTTACAAAGAACACTAAATACTTCCATCGATTTACGAACATGTCAAAGTGGAAATATTTTGTTACTAAATTATTTTATCAAGGTTTAAACTAAGAATGTCAAACATTAATAGTGTAAATTACCGCGGGCCATCTAGCGCTTCAATTTCCCTCGTGCTTTTACTTTGAAAATTTTACAGTCAAGTGACTCCCGGAAGTTTTTGTTTTCTCACCTGTCAGTCTGGAGCAGGCACAGTGCGAGTGTCAATCCTCGTCTGTTTGTCTCCCTCAAAGAAAACAGCTTGTCTTTTTGAGTATGAATAGCAATCTTACGTGGGTAGTTGGTTTCTAATTGAGGAAAACATCTAACACGGTTAGTGAGAGACGTGAGTGAAACATTTGGACTTAATTCTTCAGTCACCTAGCCAAGCTTAGCTAGCTGTTATCACCACAACGTATCGATCATTTTGATCTCGTTGACTGGTGATAGATACATTTGCTTACATGAAGCATTATCTTGCGGTTATGTTACTTATTGCGTCGTTTATCACGGATCCTGTATTAGAACTGTCTTTTAATGTTTTTTGTCGGTAGTCGGTGTTTACCAATGCTAACATTTAACGTTAGCATCGTACACAAACGAGATTCGTTAATTGTTTTCATCACGGTTAGATCTGTATTTTTGTTGTCTTTGTTGAATTCAAGATCGGTTTTAACTAATTCCCGTGTTATTGGACCTGTTTCATTGAAGGAAGTCCGACAAAATGACGTCTCACTTCTCGTCATGTTCCATTCACTCTTACTTTCGTTTTTAGTTATAGCTGAGGTCAGTTTCATGTATTTGCAGTCAGCAGATTAGCGTTTTTCTTTTGCTTAAAATGTTGCTTTGGCATCTTCTTGGTCATGTGTCCTATTGTATGTTATTTCTTAAAATATAGGATTTTTACTTTTACACCTTGCCTTGTGTGCTGTATCACTGTCTGCTGACACCACGAACCAGCAGATTCGCTGCAGTTTAGTTTCTTAAGATCTGTAAAAGTCCTGCAGAGTATGGGGTTCAGTCTGTGTAAGGATGTCACTTAGGCTGTTCTTATTCTTCTTGGTGAGATCTCAGCATTCAGGTCCATCTAAGATCATTGTGGTAACTTCTGCATGGAAATAGTTAAGGTTTAAAGGTAGGTAACAATAATCAGTTTTAGATCAAATGAAACAGTAAATACAAAATGCTAATTTCAAATGAGGAATTCTTTCAGTTATTTTTCTACACATTAAGTTGGGTTGGTTTAGTTTTCTCGTTCACCCATATCAATGAAATCATTATTTGAAAACCGTTTTTTTAGTTTCTCATTTGATTTTTGTCTGATGTTGAAGTTTGTTTGCTGATCTGAAACTTTTGAGTGGGACAGATAAGAAGAAAAGGGGAATCTGTAAGGAGGGGAATGCTTTTTAACAGCACGTTAGAATTTATTATCTTTTTTAATATGGCACAATTTCAGATTACTTGTCACACAAATATGATGCCTTTCTGACTTTTTTTTTACATTTTCTTAAATACTTAGTGTACTTTCAACATTATTTTTCAACTGCCTGAAGTCAGTATATTCTGTGCTAAAGCAGCAATAAATGTATTTGCTTCATAGCCAAGGTTTTTTTAAATCTATAATTCAGTGTTTTTGATCATTTGACTGCATGGTGATGACAATTTAAGCTTTTCATGTCATAAAAAATGTATTTATTTTGCGTACAAACGTAGATTCATCACTACAAAAAATAACCAAAACTCTTTGTGTGATTCTTAGGTCTTCTCTGCTACAGACTAGACCTGAGCAGACATGGATCCTCTGGCAGTGGACGATGACATTTGCATCCTCAAACACGAGACGGCGTACACAGCCGCTGGTGAGAGCCCTGTGTCGGTGTGTGCTGGCGATGAATCTGTCGCGTCTCACTTTGCCTTGGTGACGGCGTATGAGGACATCAAGAAGAGACTAAGGGACACAGAGCGAGATAATACTTTGCTGAGGAAAAGGGTTAAGCAGCTAGAGGACAAGGTATAGATTTCTGTTGACACATCTGAGATTGTTGTCAAATAAAGGGGTAGATGAGAACTGGTTAGAATAAAGTAGAGTTTACAAAAAGGAGATAAAAACATACGTTTTTAAATGTTCTTTTATACAGTTTGTTTAGTTGTAATCTCTTCTTTTACTGCTTGCTACTTTTTTAAGGTAGTTTTTTAAGGGGCTCTTCATGTGTTTCCAAATTGCATTAATCCTGCAAAAAATGACATTATCAGAAATTGTTATTAAAACATTATCTATCTTTAACCTTCTCAATGGCCTTGTGGTAGAGTGTCCTGCCTGGGACTGGGAGATCGGGGTTCAGATCCCAGTCGGGTCATACCAAAGACCTTAACAATGGACCCCAATGCCTTCCTGTTTGACACTCAGCTTTATTGGGGGTTTAACCACCAAATAGTTCTTAAGTGCGGCCACAGCTGCAGCTTACCACTTCCCACAGAAATGGGTCAAATGCGGAGATGAATTTCACCAGTGTGTGACGAATTTATGGGACTTTAACTTAAAAAAAACTGATGCTATGAAAACGAGTGCATCAGTGCTTTAAGGCTGTTGATTTTTGATCAAAACGTATCACAGAGGTTTTATGATCTTGACTACAAATTGTTTAGATTAACTGAAAACATGACTCTGATTTGTATCTGCTGCTAGATATTTGGTGGAAAAATGTTATTATAACAACAGAACTTAACACTGATCATGTCTTTTTTTTTTCTTTCTCTTGCATCATGTTTCATTTACTGTAGCTCTTCAGACCAGAAGCGCCTCCATCAGAGGGCCCCCACTACGTGAACAAGGCCTTCAGTGCCTACCGCGGCATCTATATAGAGAAGGAGGACCTGCAGATGGAGCTGAACAAGCTGGTGCTTTTTCCCTTATTGATTTGATCATTCCACAAACTGAAAAGTGCAAAAACACAGACAGTGGAGAAATACATTTTTGTCTCACAGCCTTTTTTGCTTTAAGATTCATTCAGAACAGTGAGATCATATTATTACCAACTTTCTGGTACTCACCTACTTCTTCTGTTTATCATCCTCTTTACTTGTGCCAGAAAAAGGAAAAGAGTGAGAGTGAGAGGATGCTGACGGAGCAGCTCCAGGCTAAAGAGTTGGAGCTGCTGCAGCTGAGGACAGAACTGGAGACCACCCAAGGTACAGGTAGAGCACACAGGCCTGATTTTTTTTTAATTTTACACATCATTTACTTTTGAAAGAGCTTTAGATGTGCAAAAGGGACAAGGTCATCAGTATGGCTCAAAGGTATGATTTGCGCTGTAACACTAAATCTTCATCATATTTAAAATAAATCTGAGTGCTGTACAGTTTGTTTACACATTTTCAGTTTCAGAACAATGAAGTATTCTGACTCAGTGGTGATAGCACTTCCCTAAAGGCTGCACCATCACCTTTTACTTTTGCACTCTACATTTAAATGCACAAAATATCTACTAAAATCAAAAAATGCTACAAAAATACATTTTGAAGAGCGGTTTTTGAGAATTAAAGCAGAAATGTGGAGTTTCGTCTCGATGACGTCTGCGGCTGCAGGGTCATCGATGCCTGTTGTGGTGGCAACCCCAATACCCACTAGTGGACACTGGCGAAAAGGGATGCTGTCCAGCTGAAGAAAGAGTCCTATCAGGTCTTGGCCTGTGGGACTCCAGAGGCAGCTGATGGGCATCGGCAGTCCAAGCAGAATGTGGCACAAAAGCAAAAACCCAGGCATGGGAGGAGTTCGGTGAGACCATGGAGCAAGACTTCCGCACGGCTTCGAGGAGATTCTTGTCCACCATCCGGGGCCTCAGGAGGGGAAAGCAGTGCGCCACCAACACTGTTTATAGTGGAGAAGGTGTGCTGCTGACCTAGACTGGGGACGTTGTGGATTGGTGGGAGTATTTCGAAAACCTCAATCCCACCAGCACTTCTTCCAGTGAGGAAGCAGAGTCTTGGGACTTTGGGTTGCACTTTCCAATCTCTTGGGCTGAGGTTGTAAAAAGCTGCTCGGTAGCAAGGCTCCGGGGGTGGATGAGATCCTCTCGGAGTTCCTTAAGACTCTGGATGTTGTGGGGCTGTGTTTGGTGACGTGGCTCTGCGTGTGCATTGGGGGCAGATTCACTGGACTGGCAGACCGGGGTGGTGGTCCCCTTATTTAAAAAGGGGGACCGCAGGGTGTGTTCCAACTACAGGGGGATCATACTCCTGAGCCTCCCTGGTAAGGTCTATTCAGGGGTTCTGGAGAGGAGGGTCTGTTTGATTGTCGAACCTCTGAGATTCAGGAGGAGCAATGTGGTTTTCATCCTGGCCGTGGAACACTGGACCAGCTCTATACCCTTAGGGGGATCCTGGAGGGTGCGTGGGAGTTTGCCCAACCAGTCTATATGTGTTTTGTGGATTTGGAGAAAGCGTTTGACGTGTCCCTCGGGGGTCCTGTGGGGGGTACTCCAGGAGTATGGGGCACCAGGCCCTCTGATACGGGCTGTTGGGTCCCTGTAAGACTGGTGTCAGAGCTTGGTCCCATTGCCGGCAGTAAGTCGAGCTCATTTCTGGTCAGAATTGGACTCCGGCAAGGCTGCCTCTTGTCACTGATTCTGTTCATAACTTTTATGGACAGGATTTCTAGGACCAACCAAGGTGTTGAGGATCGGATCTCTGCTTTTTGCAGATGATGTGATCCTGTTGGTTTCATCAGAACGTGATCTCCAGGTTTCGCTGGAGCGGTTCGCAGCCGAGTGAAGAGGCTGGAATGAGAATTAGCTCCTCCAAATCTGAGACCATGGTCTTGAATTGGAAAAGGGTAGAATGTCTTCAGAGACAAGGTCCTGCTTCAAGTGGGAACTGCAATCTTGTTCTTTCGGTCACTAGCCAAAGCTCGTGACCATAGGTGAGGGTAGGAACGTATATCGAACTGTAAATCGAGAGCTTTGCCTTCCGGCTCAGCTCTCTCTTCACCACAACAGACCGGTACAACACCCGCAGTACTGTTGATGCAGCACCAATCTGCTCGTTGATCTCACGCGCCACCTTTCCCACACTCATGAACAAGACCCCTGAGATACTTAAACTCCTCCACTTGAGACAGGACCTCGTCCCTGACCTGGAGAATACACACACACACACACACACACACACACACACACACAGACACACAGACACACACACACACACACACACACAGACAGACAGACAGACAGACAGACAGACAGGAAAAGGGTGGCTTGCCAACTCCGGGTCGGGGGAGAGGTCCTACCTCAAGTGGAGGAGTTTAAGTATCTCGAGGTCTTGTTCACGAGTGAGGGTAGGAGGGATCGGGAGATCAACAGGCGGATTGGTTCAGCGTCTGCAGTGATGCGGACGCTGAGCTGATCTGTCGTGGTGAAGAGGGAGCTGAGCCAGAAAGCCAGGCTCTCGATTTACCGGTTGATCTATGTCCCAATCCTCACCTATGGTCATGAGCTTTGGGTAATGACCGAAAGAACGAGATCGCGGATACAAGCGGCCGAAATGAGTTTCCTCCGTAGGGTGGCCGGGCTCAGCCTTAGAGATAGGGTGAGGAGCTCGGACATTCGGGAGGGACTCGGAGTAGAACCGCTGCTCCTCCGGATCGAAAGGATCCAGTTGAGGTGGTTTGGGCATCTGGTCATGATGCCTCCTTGACGCCTCCCCGGGGAGGTGTTTCGGGCATGTCCTGCTGGCAGGAGGCCCCCGGGTCGACCCAGGACACGTTGGAGAAGTTACATCTCCAATCTGGTCCGGGAACGCCTTGGGGTCCTGCCGGAGGAGCTGGTGGAGAAAGCTGGGGAGAGGACGGTCTGGAGCTCCCTAGTTGGGATGCTGCCCCCGCGACCCAGACCCGGACCCAGATAAGCGGAGGAAGACCATGACGACGATATCTATATATATGTATATGTATATATATATATATATATACACACACACACACACACACACATATATATATATATACACACACACACACACACATATATATATATATATACACACACACACACACACACACACACATATATATATATATATATATGTGTGTGTGTGTGTGTGTGTGTATATATATATATGTATGTATATATATATATATAATATACACACACACACACACACAATTTATATACATACGATTTTTAAAGACTTAATCTTCCATTAGAAAGGTTGTCAACTCTGCATTTATATATTAGCAAATGCACCTGCTCTCTGTGACTGACATCTGTATGTAAGGGATGTCTAATGCTATTGGCTAATGCTGAGCAACACTCAATTAAAATTGCATTGGGCTCTACATGATGGAGGGTGGTCTTTGCAAAAAAATAAATAAAAGGGCGTACTGCTTTCATTATATCATAGTTCGGGGTAAGACTGCCACTTTTATAGGAAAATAAAACATACATAATTTGTTATGCTTTTTCTTTCTGTTGTTGTAGTAATGAAGAGCCTGAACAGCCCTCTGGACTCGTGGCAGATGGAGAGGGCTAGCACCGAGCTGCAGATCCGCAACTTACAGGACGAGCTCGAGAGGGTTACGCTCGAGAACAGTCGACTTCTGGAGACAAGCAAAGTGAGTAAAAAGGATAGGCAAGGGCAACGGAGGCCAGACCAAATAAGGGGAAGTTAAATAATCAGTGCGTTTACATGCAGCCAGTAACCCTTTTAAAACCCGAATATTCACCATAACCCGGTTCCGCACGGCCATGTAAACACCGCCAAAAACCCGGATATGCTCATAACCGGGTTTTTAAAAACCCGGTTACTACACCTGGGGTAACCCTTTTCTAACCTGAATGTTTGGTCGTGTAAACGCATACCAGGATATCCCCATCAAAGCGTGTGTTCTGCGCATGCTCTGTTCGCAAGGAATCTTGGTCTTTTGAGTAGCGAGACGTCTTGTATGCGCCAGAACACTGGAAGTAAACAAGTTGGGAGCAACATGGCGAGTCGCGGCACAGCACCACACTTTTTTAGTGACGAAGAAACTAAAGCGCAAACAAACGCGGTCGCTATCTCTTCCGAACTGGGAAACATGTTGTTGTTTTCACGGATACCGGAACAAGAAGAACCGGAAATGACGCATATTGCGTCTGGACGTAGTCCATACGTCCTGACGCTACCCCAACGTCCGCATTTAAATTGGGTTATGCAAGTTTGATGTAACTCTTTCTATTTATGCTTGTAAACGGGTTATTCTGATCAACTCAGAAACCCGAATACCGACCTTAACCAGATCATAACCCGGATATTGGCTGCATGTAAACGTAGTCAGTGAAACACAAAGTAGATTCTGGGAAAGTTGTCGCTTAAGGTATAGTGGAAGCAAACTGCTAAAAGAAAGCATTAAAAAGCATCATCTAGATTATTTACATCATATTCCCCAGAGTTGGATAAGTGGGGAAAACAATTGTGTTACCAGCCCAGTCAGTTTTCTGTTAGCATTTAGCTTAGCATAAACAATGTAAATGAATGGTAACAGCTAGCATTTTGTGTGGAATAAGTTATGGAAATGACTCAATAACAATCCTAATTTTTCTTTGTGACCTCAATAATCATATCGACTTTAAATGACAACAATGAGCAATAGAGGTGCTGAAAAAAATCGATTCAAGTCTGAATCGGGATTCTTTTTTATAAAGATTCAGAATCGATTCACAAAGGTTCCGAATCAATTCCAAGAACTCAAATATTCGGCATGTTACAGGTTTGAGATGCACTTTTTTGATCTTTGTTAGGAGAGTCAGTACTCCGTTTACTTTTGTGGTCCCATAAATTGAGATGATTTATGTTTGAATCTGCTGATAAGAGGGCACTTGAATGTAATTTTTTCCATTCTCAGAAATTTGAGATATTCTCATATTTATTTTCTAAGTTGATAAATGAGTACTCAGGATTACTCATGTAACTTGTTTCCACACATACTTGAAAAGTATTTGACCGTATTACTTTCAAAGCTACTGTTAGGTAACTACAGATTTGTTATATTTTACAAGGTAAGCAAAAATAAATGTTGCCTTTTGGTCAAAAGATTGTTTCTGCTCACAGTTTTAGAATCACTTTAATTTACATTGTAAATTTGCTTTTTTGGAGCATGACCAGTTTAAAGTCAAATAAAAATGTCCCATAGCTTTAACTAACTTGTACAACAAAGTAGTTCATCCTGGAGCTGACACCCTTTATTAATACTGATTGTGAATCGATTTAAATTGAGAATCGATTCTGAATGGAATCGGCATGAGAATTCGCCAAAGAATCGGAATCGAATCAAATCGTGAGTTGCTCTAAGTTTCACATCCCTAATGAGCAACATGAAGGAGTTACAGGAGCCAATATAGACTTGGGACTACATTAACAAAGCACCCCGTAAGCTCTCGCTGCAAAGTGCAAGTACATGACCCAGTGTCCCTAAATGACACCTTCTTCCTGTATTTTGCCTTTTTTAATGTAACTTACTGTTCATTCAAAAAAACTGTACCGGGTATAAGCCACACATTGTGTTTGAATTTAAGTGATTGAAATTCTGTTGTTACCGTTCACTTACAGTTTATGCCAAGCTAAAGCTAACAGAATACTGCCAGATTAGAAGGACCAGGCTGGTTACAAAATGCCTTTTTTCACGTATCTAATACTGGTGATTATGTCAACAGACTAAATTTCATGTAGGGTGGAATATCCCTTTAAGAAAGGATGACCACTTCCTATTTTCATAACTTTCATTCAGGAGGAGTCTTGCAGCCTTAATGGACCAGTGTTGGACCAGACGTCTGATGCAAAGCACAGCGCAAGGTATAATGTTTTATTAAGATTAGAATCGACTGATGTTGGTTTTTCTGTTGACGATGCTGATGCCGTTATGTAGAGGTCATGGTCAGCCAATGGCTGATATGTGCTGACGATTTTCACGGCCGTTATCTAGAGATGTTTGCCTTATTTAAAAAGTCACCAGTAACAACAGTGGATGCACAAAACTTCTGAACCAGAGTTTTTGAAAACTGAATTTAACTGTTTAGACTTAATTTTGTGCTCAGTATTAAAATCAAACATTTAATCAAAATTAATCAAACACATCGATAAACAGATCCAAGTATTAAATATAAAACGGGTAAATAAAAAGAAATGTCAGGTAAAATTATGTTTTAGAGCATTTTTAAACAGATGTTTATCAAGACTGTAAATATACATTTAAATGCATTTGGCAGCAGCACTGAGCTGCCCACAGATGTACCTGACCTCAAATTGGGTTTACTAAAGAGGTATATCTGCCAATGCTGATATATTGGTCGTATCTATTTCTATGAAAGATTACTGAAGAACTAGTTTCTGTCCTATTTCTAAACATCCTTTATGTTTTTTATGGCCATTTTCATACAGCCGTCAAAATAATTTAATAAAAAACAAAAGAAGTTCCTGGTTAAGCTACTGCGTTTCCCTTTTAATTGTTTGTCAGACCAGAGCTGATATCAGATTCAAATATATTTCTGCCATCGCAAAAAAGCTGGGAGACAACTGGTCCATGCACTCAGTCATGCTCCCGCTGCTGTTGGATCAGATGCTCCTCAACTTTGATCTGCCATCCTGTCCGAACCTCACAAACACCAGGACAGGGTGTCGCAAAGGTGCGTCGGTCGAGCTTGGAAGAGGAAGTGTGATGAGGACTGGTGGTGGGGGGCTGTTCGGGCTCAAACACCAGATAAGAACTTTTAACAGTAGCTATAAGTGGTTTTGGGAGACTGTAGCGTTTTCCAGCATCCCCCAGATTCACAGCAGATTGTACTTTCCTCCTTTGGCCACTAGAGGGGGACACAGCTTAGCCATCAGATCAAACATTTAAAGTTGTAGTTTTGTGTTCAGTAGTCATTTATGCCTTCTGGACTTCCCTCTACCTTCTTCTGTAAATGTGCATATTTTATTTGGTGAATTAAACCTTTTCTTTAATTGGTGTTAAGCAGAAAATAAACTTGGTTTGAGGCAGGTGACAAAAGTAATTTTTGATCAAATTAAATTGATTAGTTTGTTTTTGGTCTTTGTGGAGCACAGTAACCTTGTAAGTTCATTTAACCATGTCTTTGTGCTGTTTATAATATGTGCCATGATGGATAATTGATTGAACTGGATAGAGTGTTACATGCATCAGAAAGAAATGAAGTGATTTAGTACAAACACAGCTAACACAAAGAAACAGCTGAGCATTATTTAAAAAGTATAAATTCATACTGAAACAGCAGACCATCACACAACCACCACCATGTCTGACTATTGTTTTTCCTGAAATGCAGTTAGTTTTGTTCGACTGTGACTTTTTTCCCCAAAGTCTCCTTCAGGTTATCTTCTGTTTGATATTATAATGTGTTTGCTGGTATGAAATATTTAAGTGTGACCTAAAGCAGAAGAAATGTATGAAAGTTTTTTTTTTTTTTTTTTGAGAAAATTTGTATAGATTTTTTCCTTTCAGGATGCCAGCAATAACACATCGTGTTAGATTTCTGGATGTTTCCGTACGGTTTAAGCAAAATGTCCTGTTCGTCTGTAGGGATCAGAACATCCAACAAATATATAAGGCTTTGTGCTGCGAGGTGACTCGTCTCCATTCAGAGCTGAAGCACCAGACGGACCTGATTACGAAACTCAGACCGCTGATCGGAGAAACGAGACCAGGTGAGAAACAGGAACACACAAATGCTCAGGATTGGACCGCCTGTTTTCATCCAGACCATTCCATGCTTAAGTTCTAATAACCTGCAGCTAGTGTCCTGGGTTTCATCTTATGTCTACAGAACACTTCACAAACAATTCAATTCAGTTTTATTTATAAAGCACCAAATCACGACAAGAGTCGTCTCAAGGCACTTTACATAATAAACATTCCATTACAGGTCAGTAAACATGAGGTTTGAATGAAAAATGCTAATTTTGTTATTTTTCTGGTGACCAAATAAGTAAAAACAAGTCATTAAACACAGAAGTATTACAAATACAGATACACACCTCTTCATCTCAGAAACAACTTTAAAATAATAACAAATCTAAATATTAAATGAAAATGTTCAACACTCGGATAAACTTATTTTCAAATTTCAGCTTAAATACTTGAAACAATTTGATAAAAATTTAAATAATTGCCAAAAAATCTGGAATGCGAATTTCATGTTTTCTCACAGAAAGTAAATAAATCGAAGGAGGCTGCTGCTGCTTCTGATTACTATTGTGTTAAAAACACAGCTATATCCCCAAAACCCTTCGTTCCTTGGCTAGTTGTGTTCACCTCTGCTGTCGAAACAGCAAAATAAAACCTTGTCTGGTTATTCCACTGAATCGCAGCGTAATCCTGTGGCTCAGATGAGGCAAATGGACACAAGGAGTGGTAAAAGGAAAAGGGGAGGGCTAGAGAAAAAAGGGGGAGTGTGCTATCTATTTATTCACTCATTCTCTGCATCTGTATTCTAACGCTCCTCCATTGGAATCACTTTTATTCAAATCCCAGACTCGGGAGACCATCTCATGGAAGCATAGCGGGGAGGGATGGATGGATAGATGATGTGTGGATGAAGAGAGGTATGGTAAATTTCTCTTTCCCCCAAAAAATAAATAAATGAACAGAATAAAACAAGCAGTGGAGGAGGTTCTCATTTAAACTTCAATATTCCCCAGAGGCAGTGATTTGATAGCAAAAAGCAGTGGTGTGGGTTTGAGGTGAGGACATCTGATTGGCTTGTTTATGCAGAGGTTAGCAGGTTAGCGTTTCTGAATTTATTCAAAACTAACTGAGAAACTGCACAGAAAGTAATGCAAAACTACATGCAGCTCTTTTTATTACAACTTTGTTTTCACCTTAAATATTTTGTATTATTCTGTAGATCAAAAGGCTTAAAAGCTTAAAGTAGCAAAAAACAGATTTTCTAGCAATCAACGCCCAGCAAAAGTAATTTATCCTCACCAATAGACCTGACTCGTGTCTTGTATAAATGGTTAAAGAACATAGTGCGTTCATGCTTAGCTGAAACAAAAAGTAAGTTGGGGTTAATGTGTGTTGGATAAGAGCTCCTATAAGTTCATTTTAATTTTACTTTTGCATTTTTTCATGAGACCATCACCATCCTCTGATGTGTCTCCACCCGTCTGTCCTTTATTTAGTCCGTGACACTTGTCTGTTTTCTCTAGCTGCTTCAACCGTTCCAGTCCAGTGTTTGGATGACGTGGAAAAAAACAACAACCTTCCAGTTGTTCGGGCACCAGTGCCCCGCCCCCCAACCGTCCCTTCCTGCTCTGGACGCCCCTGCCCCCCTGTTGGTGGCCTTTCGGGACTCCCTCTCCCTGACTCTCTGAGGGAGGACTGCTGGTATAATGGGCCCTGGCCCCCTCAGAGCTGTCTAGTGGAGGCCCTGGTTGGGAGTGACACCTGCTCCGTGGTTCTCCCCCCACCTCCTCTGAACCAGGCATCTCTGGATGACAGTTCGCGCTCCTTTCCCAGCCCCCCTAAGCCCAGTGACGCTATGTTCTGGGAGGGACACGCTGCTGCGTCCAGTTCTTCATCCTCACTAGGAAACTTCACTCCCATGAGCCCCCCCAACACAGAGTGGACCAAACCGTATTGAGGTCAACTGCAACGAGACAAATGATTAAGCAATTGGTGGAAAACAAGTGAATGAAAGACTGGATGAACTGTGACTCTGCCACACGGTGACCACCTAACCTGCCTTAAGTTGATGAAACCACACCTCAGTGGTTTTCTACACTGGACCTACTTTGCGTGGGAACTAATCCAGGCCAGATGAGGCCTTTTGGAGGTGAGGAATCACTCATTGACCATCTCCGCATCAGTGAAAATATCCCGACTTCGCAGAGGAAAAAGTTGCTGAGAAAACCTCAAAGAATAAATATCTCCAAGTGTATTCTTCTTTGCACGCACATGCACAAGTGTGTGCAAGCATGCATACAAGCAGTCTGATCTGTGTGTATGTGCAAATATATGCACATCAAGGTGTGCCTGTGTGTCTACGTCATAATAACCCTAATAAGGCTCAAAGGAGCCTCCTTTCCATACATACTGGTCACGGATCACTAGAGCCACAACATAGTAGGTTTTGTACAACTGGTCCTCCTCACTGCAGCTCTTATTTTAAAATGTTGGATCACTGTAAAGCGTACAGGGTATGTAGCCCCGTTTGTCTCCTGGTCACTGGTATGAAGACACGGATGGTGTGGCTGTTTTGTGCTGTGGTCGACTTGAATGAGCTTTATGAAAACAGACTTCTGGTCAAGATTTAACATTCATTTTAATTAAGCCTTTGGATTTTTGTGGGAAGTGAATCACTAAACCAACTCTGCCTCCTTAAAGCTGTCTTTTTCAGGGCCTTATGGTGGTAGTTGATTTCCTCAGACATACTGTTGTCGGTTATTATTTTAACCAGATAATCAAGACTCACAAAAATGCAATCCATGCTCTCCACTGTATTCATAAGGTTTATGGATGTTTAGAAAGTAGATGTACCTAATCCCAAATGATGCTAAGGTTCCAGTAACAGAAGATGGATGTTTTTTTGATTTTACAGTCTTAAAATGATGTACATGAGAAATGACAAGATTCACAGACCGTGCACATCTGTATAAATGTAAAGGGTGGGCTTCAGTACTTTGCCAAATGTGATTATGCACTCCATTCTGTGTTTTGGTTTTCCTCCTTTGACACAGAGACCTCTGACGAGCATAAAAGCGATCTACGATGGTGACTAGGGCATGTGCGCCGTGGGTTCACAACGTTCTGTGGTTCTCTAAAGATCGTTTTCTTTGGCTTTCTTCGTTAATCTGATTTTACAACTTTGATCCTGTTTTTTTACAGCAGTGCTTTCATAATTCTGTAAAGGATTTGCAAACCAAAATGCAATGTACAGTAGATAATGGATTATATTTTAGATTTACTGCACTTCAGACTGTTTGTAAATATGATTAAATAAATGAATGAAAACCATCTGCTGCAACCATATGGAACTCCTTTAAAATTACAAATGCAAAATCATCCTGATGATGTCATGCTTCTCTCTGAACAATTCTGAATGTTTTTTTTTTTTCCAGATTTGGACAAAACGTGCAGATCTTTTCATTACACACAAACACTGAAATAAATACAAAGCTGACCAAGTCATAACTACATTAGCTGCTTTACATCAAAGTTTATATGCATAAAAAAGCAATGATTTCATAAGGATGACATCATTTAGTCACCTATGGGTGGGTATTAAATATGAATAACGAGAAAAGCAAACCGGCACAAGGAGGGACGACACTGGCTCGTGGTGGAGGCTGATATGATGGTGGGTAATAAAACACAGACACGCGCAATTCCCTAACCCAGTTCATAAAGTGTCATCATAAAGCCTGAATATAAAAAGTCTGTTTATTTTCTCAGTCACCGGATAACATCTTTTGTTACCATCGCAGGTTTTGGGCGATGGCAAACCCCTCTGGAGAAGGTTTGATCAGATTGTGGAGCAATGCTAAATCAACTACACAGCTCTGAAGTTCTACTGCTTTTATCTTGCTCACTTGAATATTTTCAAAGCGTGTAAAACCAAAGTCTCCTGCCAGTCAATCAGGGAAATATGCAGACATGGGAAATCAGTTCAAACGTTTAAAAATGAGCTGGTTATCACAACTTGTCAAGATTCAGCACTGCTCTAAAAGTCCAAAGTCAAATTTCTTGTTTTGTTTGTGAATGCATGTTTGCCAGCAGTGCCAATGTATCCTCCATGTGGAGTTTTTTTGCTTCCAGAATCACAATTTTCAAATATGTATAGATTTCTAGGAGCTAGATTGAAACAGGAAAAATTGGTATTGGCAAGTCAAAGCTGTACAAAAAATGTGAAAACAGTATCAGCCCTAAAAATCAGAGTCAATGCATTTCTAATTTAAATACATCATTTAAATAACATCTTCATTTACATTGTTGCACAGCATCCTGTCCAACAAAACCATATATATCGATATATAGATCGATATATATATATCGATCAATAGATATATGTAGAGAGAGAGAGAGAGTGTGTACATTCACAATCCTGCTGACATGCATGATTTTCTTTTAAAATTAACACACACTTCACCTTTATTGTACATACATTACATTTCATTTATTGTTATTTTAAAAAATCACAATGGGTTGTTTTAGGGTAGTAGTCACTCTGCTGTTTGAAATACTCCTCAAGAGTTTAACACAGAACTTCTGATGATTATTTTTATCTGAGACTCCGGCAAAAACACAAATCAGACTCTCCGTAACCACTTGAGCTCTCACTACTTTTTTAACCACAAAAGTTTGGCCTGAAATTGAAGCCGTAGCATCAAAACCAATGAGCTGCAATCAGCTGTCTTATTATGACTCGATTGCTTTTTCTAAGAAAATGTGAAAAGAAAGTTATTACGCAGCTCTTGCAGTTCATCTTGCACATGCACTGAACATTACATCATGATTTTTTTATTATTAGTGTCAATTATCACATGCTAGTTGGAAGTTTTTGAGTTCTGTTCTTGGTTGGGATGCCCGTCCTCTCGAACTCCAGTTTCTCTTTAATGTACTGTTGCTTACACTCCTCAAAAAAAGTAGGATCTTGGTAGCTGGTGGGAGACAGAAGGCAGAGCATCATCACAGAGGTGTTTGTGTGCTGAACAGGGAGCACATTAGTGTGTCAGAAAATGTTGAAGAAAGTACGATGACCTGAATAAAAGCTATCGGTGGTGTACTGGTGTGTAAAAACACCTCATGGTGCCGAGTGTTGCAAGAGAAAAACAAGTGTCAAATACTCACTGTTGAGTCAGGCATTCCTTCAGGGAGGAATTCTCCTTTCGACACTTAAACACCATGAAGAAACCCGTTTCTTTGCAGCATTGGTTGAAGGCTGGATGGAGAAGGAGGAGATATTAATCAAAACAATGGAATGGGCTCAACATGTGAAATAGACTGAAACATTTCATAAACACGAGCTGCTTAAGTAGCAGATGTCTAGAATGATTGACCCAAAGCACAGGTACAGATTATAAGAAGTGAGTGACCTGTAACTACTATTCAATCCATTCTTAAACACCGTACCAGCTGGTTCCTCTGCAGGGAGGGTGCCCCAGAGATAAATGGAAAACAGCCCAACTCAGCTTAACTCACATCTTTTTGTTCCGGGTGGACAGCCTTTCAGTCGGTAACGTGTCTTTGTTTCCCGCTGACTTTTCAGTACCTGCTCTGACACGGTTCTCAGCGTACCAAGCCAGACCAAAAGCACAACATCAGCGATTGTCAGCCACTGATTGGCTAGGCACAATCACTGATGGAGACTTTCTACTTATGGGCTTCTCCATCACCTCAGCAATGGTGCAAAGCAATTCCCTGCCACAACAATAGAGGGTAATAGAGCTACTTTGCAGTATCCTGCCACCATTACCGTCACATATCCAGTCAAGATGTTTACACTGTTTTTACATTGTTTAAATGTATTTCAGAGACTTTTTTTAACACATACAAATTTGTCCCTCTTTCACCTCCACCTCTTCAAACCTAAAACCACTTTTCTCATCATTTCCATCCATGAATAAAAACACTTGCAGAGTAGATTTGTACTCCTTCAGTCAAGGGTGAATAAACGTTCATATTCTCAGGCTTTTCCCATGAGGCATTAAATCTGTTCCATGACTGCCGCTAAATATATTTTAATTTTTAGAGGGGGCAATGGTGGTGCTGTTAACCAATTTAAGGGAAGTGGCTTCCTGACCAATCACAAGCTTGCTGTCTCCATCACTTTTGAAGGACAGTTAAAAAGTTGGGCATGTCTCCGTCGCCGTCTGTGAACCTGTCGGAGAGCCCCTGGCATTGTGTCTCTGTACCCATAGACAGAGTTAAGCTTTAGGTTTTACATAAACACTCTGCATGAACAGGATTTAACCGTTTTGGCAACATTAATTTTCCCTCTATTTATATCTAATAAAGAACTAGTAAAAAATTAATTTCTTCAGAGATTACAAAAATAGACATTTGCCATTTGTCAGGGATACATCCGAGGCACTGTCACTATCAGAGATGCACACCATGTTACATATGCAGAAGCCTCACTGAAAGGTGTGGAAAACTAAGTCATCACCTTGTTAGCAAGCTCTTTCTCAAGGCTTTAGTTAAGAGCACTGTGTCTCACATCTAGCAGCAGCATCAGTATGGTTATCACACACACACACTTTCATCAGGATGCAGATGTAAGGGGAAAATAACAGGGAAACCAATTTAGAGAAGCAGAAATGAAAACTAATCTAAACAAGCGACGCTTCATCCCTGTCCTGCGGTACTAAAATGGAGCCTAAGTCTCCTCCTTTTCCGGTTGGCTCACGAGTCCCCAGAAGAACAGAAAAATCAATGCAAGTCAACGAAGCTAAAAGAGCTATTTTCTAATTCGCTTTGCCTTACGCCCTGGATCGCACATATGTTGTACTGCAATTTAAATGATAAGTAATAATGTGTTTCAACTATGCCTGTCACATACTTTGAGATTAATCAGCTTGTAAAAGAACTTTGTCTACAAATCTACATGCCGATGTCTACAAATGAGACGTCTGCACATTGCATATATGACATCACCATCGATATATAAATATTGGACAATGGGTTTCCATAGTCTCCAATAACACGTTTTTGAGGCCAAATGGGAGGTGGCCACCACCGCCATTTTGACCGTGTCACAGGTTCCGTCAAGCCCAGACAATTCCACAAAAGGGAAGAGAGGTGGAGCTGAGGGTGGGGCTGTAAGGCTGGGATCAACTGACGACACCCGGTCGAACTAGCTACAAGCTAACCTGAAGCTAACCCAAAGCTAATGCGGAGGTGGGAGCTAAGCTAACGGAGGTAGCAACCTAGCTACAACCGGAGTTAACTGTGCACAACACCAGAGCTTCTGAGTCAGAGATATGCCGGGCTGACCGCTGGGTAAAACCGGGTGGAACACAGAGGTCTCCGAGACCTCCACAAGCCGGCAGCCGCACAGCAGACAAGCGCCGCTGAGATCTGAGATGCGCAGAGCTGCCGCTGGGGAGAACCGGGTGGAAAGGTTTCCATCCCAGAGCTCCACAAGCCAGCAGCCCGCGCAGCAGAAAGAAGCCGCGATCAGACAGAGATGCGCCGAGATGCGGGGACGGGAGAACGGGTGGAAAACATCAGTCTCCCGAGAGCTCCACAAGCCGATAGTCAGAACCCAGCTCCACCAACATGTTATATTTCAACCCATTTTCTAAAGTGCAGCATTATGTTAAATGCACTGGGTTTTACCCTATTACATTTAAATTTCATGGTTAAACAGTACATGTTAAAATCTAAGCTCAGCAGTGACCTAAAATACATAAATATAATTTTACTGACCGAAAAAAATGAAGTGGAAACTCCTTGGACGCTCTATTAGTGCAATTAATGCCACAGTAAGTCATTTTGTCCAACAATTGCACAAAAATATCCAAAACAGAATACACAAACACATAGACTCAAAATCCCGGAGCAGTTTCCAAGCCAGACCGAGGCTCAGACTGAGGCCTTAACACGGATCTAGCTCTGCGGTCACGTGGGTCGGATGCTCATTAACTATACAGAATTTTAGGCTTTTAATACACTTAAAACAGAAGAGTGAGAAAAAAATTCACCCCCCTCAGAGTTGTCATGAGTGTAAACTAGATCATTTAAACCAAAAACATGTTTTGGTACCAGGCTGTAAACATGTTTATTTCTGCTGTGAAATTGATATTTTTAACATGGGAGTCAATGAGGATTTGCTCGCCTCTGACACCAGCCCCCAGCAGATAAGGGTGGAACTGCAATTTTTGGTACTTCCGGGTTGGCCTCAATTTTTGAGCTGCATTGTGGGGGCTTGGACATCACCACAGAATCTCCTCTCCCCTAGCGTAGCTGCTACTTACCACATGGCCAGAGTCATGGTGGTTCTTTCATGCTGAAGGAAGGATTTGAAGTTTGTTGAACTTACAGCCATTTTCCCGCTGTGTTTCTCCATGTCTGGTTCAATGACGTCACTTTGGTGATGCGCATTTGACTTATTTGCACACAACACCTAAAATTGTGTGTGTCCCCGATCAAAAATAAGCACTTTCTTGGTATCAAAATGTGTCTTTAAAATTCACGATCATAAGTGAACTCCATGGCACTTAATTAACGGAATTAGAAAATAGAGTTTTTAGCCCCGTTGACTTGCATTCAATTTTTCCTTCTTCCGGGGACCCATGGTCCGGAAGTAGATGGGCGTGGCTTAGGCTGAGTTTCCTCTCTGACCACACAGCCGCAGCTCCATCATCACACTTCTGTAAGGTTAGTTAAATATAGGAGGAAGTTCCTCTAAAGAAAAGTGTGATGACACCTTTGCTTTAGGTTGTTAACTTTGACATTCATAGAAGTTTAAGAAAAAAGTATGACAGTTATTGAAAAGTGGAAGTAAAGCATGTAATTTAAAGCCCTTAGGAAACAAACACGGTGTGTGTACGTGCATGTGTGTGTGTAAACGTTAAATGCCAGAATATAATTTGCCCTTTTGACATTTTCCCATCATTTCAGAGTGAAAACCACAAAATGGTAAAAGAAAAAATGGTAAAAGAATTAACAGCAAAATGGGAAAGAAATCATGCCAAGTAAAAGCAGAAGTAGAAAGATGGAGTCTCTAGGTCAGAAGAAGCTCTGTGAACACAGAGAAGTGATATGTACAGAGGCCTAAAGGCGACACATAACACAGGAAAACATGTTTGTAGATTGTGTTTTTCACCTTTTTCTTTGAATTTCTCAAACAGAGGTCTCAGAGCACACACAAACACACAGCATGAGAGGGCGGAGGAAGGAGGTGTGAAAACCGAGTGGGACAAAAGCTTGTGATCAGATGGGGGTTTCCACTACGCACACAGCCACAGTCTGTCCCATCACCTCAGCCTGCATGTGCACGGACTCCCCATGTGAGCAGACACCTACAGGCTGTCATCAAATCTGTACAAACCACATTACTTAAGTTACTTGCTGATGCGTTGCTGCAGATGAGAAAGCACCAAGAAAGAGCAAATCTGTGGCCCCTACTTCCATGTTGTGTTAGGTATGGTCTGATCTTTCGTATGTTATACAGTGCAAAGCGGCATGAACAAGCAACAGAGGCAACATGATCTTTAAAGGTCAGGTGTTCATCAATCACAACACCCAGATTTCGAACTGCCTTTGAAGGAGCCAGAGATAGGAAGTCATTTTGGATTGAGATATTGTGCTGTACGGATGGTTTTGCTGGGATGACAAGTAATTCAGTTTTAGAGAGGTTGAGTTGGAGATGGTGGGATTTCATCCATTTTGATATGTCAGAGACAGTTTGATATTCGTGCAGAGACAGTGGGGTCGTCCTGTGGAAATGACAGATAGAGCTGGGTGTCGTCTGCATAGCAGTGGTAGGAGAAGCCATGTGATTGAATGATCTCACCCAGTGAGGTGGTGTGTATGGCAAAGAGAAGAGGTCCTAGTACAGAGCCCTGGGGGACTCCTGTGGCGGACTCCTGTGGCAAGATGGTGCACGGTAGAGGATTGTCCAAGCCAAGATACACTGAATGATCGTCCTGTGAGGTACGATTCAAACCAGGCGTGTGCTTTCTCTGTGATGCCCATGCTAGAGAGTGTGGACAAAAGGAAGCCATGGTTGACCGTGTCAAATGCAGCTGATAAGTCGAGCAGGAAAAGCACTGAGGATTAGCCTCTCGCTCTAGCTTCTTTTAAGGATTCCGTAACTGCTAACAGAGCAGTTTCAGTGGAGTGGCCCTTTTTGAACCCAGACTGGTAAGGGTCAAGCAGACAGTTTTGTGAGAGGTATTCTGTGATCTGCTTGAAAGCTACCCTTTCAATGATTTTGGACAGAAAAGAGGAGAGAGATAGGTCTGTAGTTCTCCACATGATTTGGAGGAAGAGATGTTTTTTTAGCAGCGGTTTAACCTCAGCATGCTTGAGAGAGGTGGGAAATGTACCGGATGTCAGTGAAGTGTCGATCACATGTGTGACTGCTGCGGCTACTGTAGGAGCAATAGCTTGGAGCAGCTGAGTCGGAATGGGGTTGAATGGGCATGTAGTAGGGCGGCTGCACGTGAGAAGCTTGGACACACAGTTCTCAGTGAGAGGGGAAAAAGAGGAAAATGAAGCAGTAGGGCTTGAGATGGTTGGGCTAGAAGGAGTTTGTGGTAGCAAATGTTCAGGAGTGGCCAGTTGAGTAAACTGTTTGCTTATAGCTGCGACTTTGTAAGGGAAGAACGAGGCAAAGGTGTCAGCTGATAGATTGTTGGTTGGAGGTGGAGAAGGAGGGTTGAGCAGAGTTTTGAATGTTGAAAATAGTTTCTGTGAGTCAGTAGAGCTGAGAATTTTGTCAGTGTAGAAAGCTTTCTTTGCATCAGTGATGCTGGCAGAGAATGAGGACAGTAATTCGTGAAATTTCAGTTGATCACCAGGATCTTTTGTTTCGCGCCATTCCCGTTCCGCAGCTCTAAGATTGATGCGTAGAGACTGGAGGGTATCATTTAGCCAAAGGTGCGACTGAGAGGATCTAGCAGGTCTAGTGGCTAAAGGGCACAAGTTGTTAAGACAAGAGCAGAGTGGGGAGCAGAGTGACTCGGTGGCATCATTCACTTCATAAGCAGAGAATGTGCTGGGAGATGGAAGAGTGGAGGCAACAAGAGAGGAGAAGTGGATAGGTGCCAGATTGCGGAGGTTGCGGCGGAATGAGTCCATTGGGGAGGAAGCAGTGGACTTTCAATGTAGAGTCATGCTGAAATGGATAAAGTAATGATTGGAAAGATGCAGCGGTGTGACAGAGATTGTGTCTATGACACAGTTTCTGGTGAAAATGAGGTCAAGTGCTTTTCCAGCTTTGTGAGTTGGAGGACTTTGTACTAGTTTTAGATCAAATGATGATATTAGTGACAGGAAGCCTGATGAGCTAGGATTGTCCAGGTGAATATTCATGTCTCCAAGGACCATTGTGGGACAGTCGTGCTCAGGAATGGAGGACAGCAGGGTGTCGAGTTAATCAAGAAAGTCTACGAGTTGACCTGGTTGGCGATATATGACAACCAAAAAGAATTTTTTCAGTACAGTTACCTGGATGGCATGGTATTCAAAGGAGTTGTATTTAGTGATGGGTAGCAACTGACTGTATATCCATTTGTTGGAAATTAACATGCCCGTTCCACCACCTCGGCCAGATGCACGAGAAGTGTGGGAGAAAGTGTGGTTAACTGAGAGAGCAGATGGGGTAGCATTGTCACATGGTTTGATCCAAGTCTCAGTGAGAGCCAGTGCATCAAGTGACAGGTGGTTTGCATATGCGGTAATGAAGTCTGCTTTGTTTACAGCTGATTGGCAGTTCCACAGTCCCATAGACAGGTGGATGTCTTCGGGGGGAGTTGGTTTTAGCGAGCGGAGGTTCTGAAGTTTGCAAAAGCGGTTTGCTGTGTGTGACCTCCTCTGAAGCCAGTGATCACAGGTTTAGGATAATGGCACATTTTGCAAGGTGTCAATGGAGCAGCGTCTTGGTCGAGTTTGTTTGCTCTGTGTACCTGCTCTGTGGACACACGCAGGTAGACACGTATGTCTTTACCCCGGAGTGTCTTACACCGGAGGGGCTGAGACACAAGGGCTGACGCTTCCGCTGACGCCACCAAACTTATGCTGTGCTACTAGTTGGAAACAGGTGTTCATGCAGCAGCTGATTGAAATGATTGAGACCTAGATCACCTGATGAGTGTATTCAGGGAGGGGAGAAACAGCTCATTCACAGCCCCTGATTGCACTTATTGTTTTCAGTTGGCCCAAACCGGAGCTACTAAACAGGATTATTCACAGATGAGTTTCCTTCTCTTTCCCAATGGAAGATAGTGCAAAGCAAAAGTTTAAGAAGACAAAAACAAGCACTAACAGACACTCAAGGCCCTTCGGTGCAGATTCAAGTCTGTTTGAAAGTGCTTGCAGTTGCTTTTTAAGCTTTGCTTCAGGTGAGAGGACAGCCCACCTAGATCACCTGATGAGTGTATTCAGGGAGTGGAGAAACAGCTCGTTCACAGCCCCTGATTGCAATTGTTGTTTTCCGTTGGCCCAAACCGGAGCAACTAGACAATGTGTTATACTAGCTTTTCTCAGAACGAACCATTTCTCCGTGGCCATTGCAACTAGGGCTGCCACGATTAGTCGACTCATCACAACAACGTCGACAAATAAAACAGTCGACTATTAATTCAATAGTCATTTATTTTATAAACTTTTTTTTAATCTCGCCTGCTGCGGCGCGTTTGGCGGTTGCTTTCTGCCTCTCTGCTCAGCCGCCGCTTTACCTCCATGGCGCATGCGTAGTAGTGGTCCTCCAGATCAGCCTTCGTCACCGGAAAAAGAAAACATGGCGAGTCGGCAAAGTAGCTCAAAAGTTTGGGAGCATTATACAAAGACAAAAGAAAGGCACGCAAAGTGAAACTCCTTTCACTGGAGCACATCGGCGATACATGAGCAATCTTAAAAGGAAGCACGTCACGGCGAAGAACAAAGACTCGCCTCGGTAAGTTTGCCTCTTGTTAGCTGCTAACATAAGAGTAGCAACACCAGTAGCGGTGGCGAATCCCTTTAGATACCTTTAGAACACGTTTGTATGTCACGTATTTTTGCTCTAATTACAAACACTAATGATTCATTTTATCCCGCTACGTTACAGTGTTAATAAAAGTGCTCCTCTTCAACGGACGAGTTTGTTACGTGCACACCTCAGCAAGCCAACGTCCTGACTGATGCCGTTGTGAGCATGATGGTCACGAGACTCCTGTCCATGGTTGCTGATCAATGTTTCAGATGATCAAGCAGCTCAACCCAGGATACCACGACTACTACCTGACTGATCCCATTTCACCACCATGATGGAAAAGAAATATGAAACAACCTTTAAGGTGTGTGTGTGTGTGTGTGTGTGTGTGTGTGTGTGTGTGTGTGTGTGTGTGTGTGTGTGTGTGTGTGTGTGTGTGTGTGTGTGTGTGTGTGTGCACGACGCGTGATGCATCTTTGCCTCTGTTTCGCTCTGGACACAAATAAAATAAACATTAGAATAATGCATTTTATGATAAAAGGAAAAAGGTTGCTGACTGAACAATCAAGAAACTAATATTTTTTAAAGCATAAAACATTTTCTTTGTGTTAAATGTTAACCTACGATATTTGATATAACAGAATTATTAATTTGGTAAATAAACTAACTTTAATATCTTATCTTTACGGTAAAGCAGACTATCAGAGCTGTCGACGGTCCCTGACTGCTGACATGTGGACCAGCCATGCTACAGAGGCGTACCTTGGTGTTTCCTGTCTTTTCCTGAGTTAAGATTGGAAGATGAAGCGCTTCAACCTTGCCACCATGCCTCTTGTGAACACAAGTCTTTTTGTGTACAATTAATTTTTGGTTTTAGGTGCCTACCTCCATCTGACTGTGGCATTTGTTTAAACACGTTACAAAGTTAATTAAGCTGATCACACTTCACACTAGAAGCTAATGATGGGATATATTAGAGCTTCCTGGTGCAATGAACTGAACTTTTATGAATGACACGATTAGTCTACTAATTGTCAACAAAACTTGCGACTAGTCGACTACTAAAATAGTCCTTTGTGGCAGCCCTAATTGCAACATTACTAATTTTCATAGGAAAGCAGGCCGGTGATGGCACAGACTTCCTGGTAAGCTACAATAGACACTTCAAGTGGTTTTAAAGTCTATAACACCTTTAAAGCAAAGAAATAAAGAGCATGCATGTACACAGGATTAAAGGGATATTCAATAAATGAGCATAAACCCATTTTACAAGAAAGATAATGACCTGATTAATAAAAAACTAATACACAGATCAGCTAATACAAAATCAACCCTGTGCATCACATTTAGACTTTAAATGTTGTCATTTTAGTCACCAGATTTACCCAATAAGACATTCATTATTCAGGGAAATCCTCTGAATTTATTCTATTTAAAGACTGCTGGATTTTAGCCCCAAAAAGTATTTTATTTTTCTGGAACAATTGTTGGGTCAATAATTGCTTCCATCTAAACAAAGAAAACTATAAATACACTTAAAAACTTCAACATGATCTACTCTGAGCGATTCAAAAACAGTAGGAACAATAGTAAATCTAAAAAAGTATGTGTGGATTGTGTAGATTTTAGACTTTTAGAACATCAGAACTATAAATTCATTTGATAACATACAACGTGTTGTGTATGATGCAGTATTGTGTATGTAGTTACAGAAAACTGTTATTTTATTGATGTTAGTTCTAACAGTTAGTCTCTTGGCATATCTGTCTCACGCATTAGCAAGAACTTGGGATGTTCGATGGCACATTTATTAGGGCTGTGTCCAAACAACATGTCAGCAAACCCAGTTTAAGACTTCACAAAAATAATGGAGAAGCACAAATTATATTTTTGTCCATGAAAACCTACAAAGAACCATGTGCACCATATGTAGTCTGCAAGTGAGTTTTAAAACACACTTGTGAACAAAATTACTGTGGTCCAACATTTTGGAAAAATAACTGATGCAGATTAAGCCAATGGACACATGAATATGAACAGGACACTAACCTAATGGCAGCTAGCATGTGCTGCAGGAGTTCTCAAGTACTGCCTTGCCTTGTAAAATAGTTTGTTCATTTTGCAGCATTCCCTTTGCTCTGAGAGTAAAAAGGTGAGAAAATACATTTTTTGGGCCTACAAATTCCAACTTTCTACAGACTGTTGCGGTTCGACATGATGATGTTATCAGTTCATTTTTCATAGCCTACTCCTAAACACAGACCTTCAACCTTGTCCGCACAGCGCTCCTTAGCTTTCTCCCTCATCATCTTGGGAATCAGCACGTCCTTCTCCACATGCCTTAGATGGATTTCCTCTAAGGAGAAAAGACCCAAAGTTACCGTTTCTCTTTATTATCAGCTGCACTGATGTATCCATACGGTTATTATCAGTGACTATTAAATATGTAGATTCATAAGCAGCAGCGAACGACTAAACAACTTAATGCACATAAGTGGACAGAGTTGTCATGTACTACAGCATGGATGGACTACTTCACCACTTAGAGCCAGTTTCACCTATTTCTGCTTACAATTACGCACGAGCTAACGTAACTACCTAGCAACCATTACGATTATAAAACACCCGCAGCATCAAAGGTGAGTCTAACGCCCATTACCTGTGTTCGTAGCCTCCATTATTCGGTGGAGTTTCTCAAAACATTACAAAACCGAACCAATGTGACCTAGTGCACATACGCTCAAATCACTTCCGCTGACGTAAGAGGCAGCTTTAAAAACTACAAGTCCCATCAAGACACACCGACCCAACCAAAGTGATTCTGCTAGCATTGACCTCATAATAGCCATGGCTGTAGTTTACATGTCGTTTTTATTTATTCAGTTAAATTTTATTTATTCAGTTTATTTATTCAGTTATTCAGTTTATTATTCAGTTAATTATTGTTTCATATATATATATATATATATATATATATATATATATATATATATATATATATATATATATATATGTATATTTTTTTTTTTTTTTTTTTTTTCAGTTGCGGGCGGTGCGTTCCACCCCTGGGCCTTCAGTGATTTCCTATTCAGTCCAATCTAATTTAATACACCTAAAATACCATCAATAGGACATCACAGCTGGAGAAACCTCACACACACACACACACACACACACACACACACACACACACACACACACACACACACACACACACACACACACCAGTGGCTGGTCAAGACACATAATTTCCAGAGTCTTTAAAATCAAACTCGCATTCCCAGTTGAGGGTAGGAAGCTGACCACGGATACCGTCAAATCTCAGAAATGAAAGACGGGTTTAAGAGATGAGACAATAAAATAAATAAGTAAAGCAAACACATTATTTGCATTTGTTTTGGAGAAAATGGCACCGCGAAACAATTGAACATGTTGGCGCAGCTGCACACACCACGTCATTCACAATATAAATTGCATAGAAACAGAACACAGAATAATTTCATTTTGCCATTTTATTTCGTTACCATTTATTGATTATTAACAAAATAAAATGACAAAACAGTAAAAAATACTAATAAAATGTTTCTACTCACCAACATAAATGTCCAGCATGGTTCTCCTCCTCTCCTGCTCATTAGAAAATAAAATCCATCCTTTCTTTCCTCAGGAAAACCTCAATGGCTCTGTACAGTTTATCTGTGCGCTTCAGGTCCATGAGTGGATCCTTTTCTATGGACATGGAGGCTAATGCTGAAAGACATGTCTGCCCGGTCGTGTTTCTGGCGTACGTTTTAACGCGCTTTAATGCTACCAAATCCATCTGATGCGAGCAACGGGCATTCCCAGCAGAATAACCTGCAGCGGTTCTCTGAAGCTGTTTGCCATGGGTACCGTTCATAGTTGCTTGCCTGAAAATGACGAACAAATCCTTTCCCCTGCTGGGACAAGCCAGCTAGCGTTGGAGTCGGACGACCTGTTCTCACAAGATCCACTTTTTCTTGAAAGGTCCGTCTTGAAAATGGTGTGGCAAATTAATCTGCAACCAAGTCTGTCTCTTCTCCTCTTTCAGCCATCATGTGTTCAAAAATACACCGATAGCTGCCTATAGATACAAATCTCTGTGTTTAGTTTTGATATTTTGCTTCATGCCGCTAGAAAAGTTCTAACTACTGCTTATCCAATCACAGGATGCGTTCATGTCAACTTTTGTGTGAGGCCAGCTAGCTGGCCCGGGTCAAGCTGACTCGTGAGCTGATTGGCTATCGCAACTAGATCATCTCTGTTCACTTACAGCGGACAGTGGGCTTCTCGATTGATTCTGAAGGCCTAGGGCAGACTTAATCTGCCTGAAAACACAAGCTAGCTTAAATCTGATTGGATAACACCCAGCTTTGGTATTTTAACACTGGAAGCAGCACAGCCAAGTGGGTATAATAGGATATAAAAAAATAGACCAGTAAACATTTTTTTTTATTTAAAAATAGTTACCAAAGGAAAAAAAATACATTTACGCTTTTGAGTATGTTTAGGCCAGCAGAGAAGGCTTTGCTGGCCCTGACTGCCCACCACTGATATATATATATATATATATATATATATATATATATATATATATATATATATATGTATGTATATATATAGATAGATAGATAGATAGATAGATAGATAGATAGATAGATAGATAGATAGTTCAAAATTGACAAAATTCTCAGCTCTGACTCTCAGAAACTACTTTCAACATTCGAAACTCTGCTCAACCCTCCATCTCCACCTCCTACCAACAATCTATCAGCTGACACCTTTGCCTCATTTTTCACTGACAAAGCGGCAGCTATATGCAAGGCCGGATTAACCATATGGACATCTGGAAAATTGCCCAGGGCCCACGAACTCTAAAGGGCCCAGGGCAGCAAGGGCACGAGCGAAATACTGTATCTGTAATCTCCCGCTTTATATTAAACTAGGGTGACCGTACGTCCTGTTTTCCCCGTACATGTCTACTTTTCACTCTCTGTCCGGGGCGTCTGGGGGGGGGGGGTTCTTGTATTAATGAAAATGTACGGCTTTTCATCCAGGAGCAGGGATCGAATTATGGTGGAGCTGTATATCCTACACACCCAGGGGAGCCGGAAAAACGATCGTCCATGTCCGCACATGTTCTCTACTTTCTGTCTGCGCCTGAAGTGCTCTGCTACTGCGGAGCTCATCACCTGTGCTGCGTGATTTCACCTCACCTCACGCAGCATCGAAACGCGCACTCCGCTACGGTCAGGAGATCCCTTTGATCTACTCAGAAGTTTAGGTGAAAAAGTAAAAATCCAGGCAGCAGCTTTGCTGGAGAGTTTAGAGGAGATGCAGGAAGCTGAGAGACAGACAGGATAGGAAAATAGTTCAATAAAAACAAGAAAACAAAACAAAGTGTTGAAAAGTAAAATGTAGGTAGATTTATCTCCATTACACGTTCTTACCTGTATAAAACAACAAGTTATACACATGTAATATTTATACATCTGATACAATTCAGATCACCTTCAACACTCAGTCACACACCCAGGGCCGTTTCAGGACATTTTGGGGGCCAAGGCAAAATGACCCCCCCCCCCCCCCCCCCCCCCTCATAACTGGGCTCCCCAGAAGCCTCTGTGTAATTCATACCCTCTCCAGGAGTATTAGTTAAATGGTGTTTATAAAAACCACTCAGACGTCGCTGACATGTTCTAATATTATCAGATGAAAAACTAAATTATCAGACATGCTGTCTCATCTGCTTCTTTTCTAAACTTGCAAAAAGTAGCAAAACTATTTGAAAGCCACTATTTGTGGATTCTCTGAAAGTTTCCATGGAGTGTGTTTGACAACTTATTTTTTCATTGATCCTACCATCTAATCTCACAGCTGAAACAAGCATCCTTAATAATCTGTGCACAGGAAGCTTACCGATGCTGTAGTAAAACAAAAGGTATAATAATTTCTTATTAATAAAACCTTGTTGCAGCACTAAAGCGGAAAAATCAGATTTTGCAATAAAATGCAAAATATTTACATATGAATTGTTTTAGAGCCCTTTTATTGGCAGAATCTGATATTACTTTAGTTCTTACCAAAAAATGGGTCCCAATGTGGTTTGTGTGGCGTTGCCATAGTGTGACGTCATAGGCACAGATCCCCTGTCCTCTTTTTTGGAAATGGAAATATGGTCACCCTATGATCAACAAACTGTCTACCTGGGCTTTTGCGCTGCACAGAGACGCTTCGCTGCCTATGACTTTGAACGTCAGTCAAGAGCGGCTGAGAGTCAGTCTCATGCAGACTGACCAATGAAGAGAGGGCCTCAAGTTAAGACCCTCTCCTCATTGGTCAGTCCACACAAGGTGGGTCAAAGGTTACCCTGAGCGGGTTACGGGATGTCAGGCATTCAAGTATTGAGTATATTTACTGCATATTACAGTAAAATATTCTGTATGTGACCATATTATGGTGATCCTTGGGTTGTGATGATGGGGCCCTTGAATATTGTTGCCCAGGGTACAACAAAGTGTTAATCTGGCCCTGGCTATTTGCAAACAGTTTACTCAACTGGCCACACCTGAAAATTTGCTACCTCAAACTCCTTCTAGCCCAACCATCTCAGGCCCTACTGCTTCATTTTCCTCTTTTTCCTCTCTCACTGAGAACTGTGTGTCTAAGCTTCTCATGTGCAGCCGCCCTACTACATGTCCACTTGACCCCATTCCGACTAAGCTGCTCCAAGCTATTGCTCCTACAGTAGCCGCAGCAGTCACACATGTGATCAACGCTTCACTGACATCCGGTACATTTCCCACCTCTCTCAAGCATGCTCAGGTTAAACCGCTGCTAAAAAAAAAACATCTCTTCCTCCAAATCATGTGGAGAACTACAGACCTATCTCTCTCCTCCATTTTCTGTCCAAAATCATTGAAAGTGTGGCTTTCAATCAGATCACAGCATACCTCTCACAAAACTGTCTGCTTGACCCTTACCAATCTGGGTTCACAACGGGGCCACTCCACTGAAACTGCTCTGTTAGCAGTGACTGAAACCTTAAAAGAAGCTAGAGCGACAGGCAAATCCTCAGTGCTTATCCTTCTTGACTTATCGGCAGCATTTGACACGGTCAACCATGGCTTCCTTTTGTCCACACTCTCTAGCATGGGCATCACAGAGAAAGCACACGCCTGGTTTGAATCGTTCCTGACAGGATGATCATTCAGTGTATCTTGGCTTGGACAATCCTCTGCCATGCACCATCTTGCTGCAGGAGTCCCCCAGGGCTCTGCACTAGGACCTCTTCTCTTTGCCATACACACCACCTCACTGGGTGAGATCATTCGATCACATGGCTTCTCCTACCACTGCTATGCAGACGACACCCAGCTCTATCTGTCATTTCCACCGAACGACCACACTGTCTCTGCACAAATATCAAACTGTCTCTCTGACATATCAAAATGGATGAAATCCCACCATCTCCAACTCAACCTCTCTAAAACTGAACTACTTGTCATCCAAGCAGAACCATCCATACAGCACAATATCTCAATCCAAAATGACTTCCTATCTCTGGCTTCTTCAAAGGCAGTTCGTAATCTGGGTGTTGTGATTGATGAACACCTGACCTTTAAAGATCATGTTGCCTCTGTTGCTCGTTCATGCCGCTTTGCACTGTATAACATACGAAAGATCAGACCATACCTAACACAACATGCCACCCAGCTGTGTCAACTATGAGGGAGATCTGGCTGTCTGGTTGGGGTCTGGGGTGGTGGGTTGCTGTG